ATTTCTGTCCTTTATTGAGCCCATTGTTGCATGAAATGTTCCCTTGGTATATCTAATTTTCTTGAAGAGATCTCTAGTCTTTCCCATTCTGTTGTTTTCCTCTATTTCTTTGCACTGATCACTGAGGAAGGCTTTCTTGTCTCTCCTTGCTATTCTTTGGAACTCTGGCATTCAAATGGGTATATCTTTCCTTTTCTCTTTTGCTTTTTGCTTCTCTTCTTTTCATAGCTATTTGTAAGGCCTCTTCAGACAGCCATTTTGCTTTTTTGCATTTCTTTTTCTTGGGGATGGTCTTGCTCTCTGTCTCCTGTACAATGTCACGAATCTCCGTCCATAGTTCATCAGGCACTCTGTCTATCAGATCTAGTCCCTTAAATCTATTTCTCACTTCCACTGTATAATCATTTGGCTAATCACATAGATGTCCTTGCAACTATAGCCCATTTAAAAGGGAGTTAAATGAAGTAAATTATTATTTTTGCCTATCCTAAGTCCTATTCTGGGAAATTCTAGGTAAAAGGTATGAGGAACTGAGCAAACAACTTCTATTTTGCTGTTGTTCAGTTGCTCAATTGTGTCCAACTCTTTGTGACCCCATAGACTGTAGCCTGCCAAGCTCCTTTGCCTATGGGGTTTCTGAGGCAAGAATGCTGGAGTGGGTTGTTCCTTCTCCAGAAGATATTTGCAACCGAGGGATCAAACCTGCATGTCCTGCATTGTCAGTGTATTCTTTACCACTGAGCCATCAGGAAGCCCAGCTTCTTCTATTTAGTGAACTCTAAACTTTTAAAAATTACAGTGCCTCAGTCTTCTGTGTTTAACTGTCAACCTCCAAAAACTACTCCCCTCTGATGTTCTATATAGATCCTCTTTAAAAAACAATGAAAATCATTAGACAATTTTTGTTTCTAGAATATCTCTGGGGAAAACTGTCTTGTTATAATACTTAGCTACAATCACTGTCGTGAAAGCAGATTCTGGTAAGAAAGGTTCACATCCTGACCTCTGTGGGGATTTTGGAGGAATCTCCTGCCCTGTTATGAGCTCCCTTACCCTCTCCATATTTTTCAGCCTCTAAACCACTTTTCAGGACCTCTTGCTCCTCTTTTTGTCTCATGTGGATTATTTGTGCCTTTAACTTCCTTCGTCTGACATGTTGGGTGCTTAATCATTTTTGAGTGAAACAACCATCTTTTTACAAACAGGACTCAAACAGTGCATCGCGCCTCTCCGTGGCAGCACCGTCTATAACTCTGCACATTCTTGACTACCAAGCCCCAGAGCCCATCAGGAGTGTAGCTCAAGGAATCCAGAAGAACTGCCCACTGGATTACGCCTGCATAATTAATGCTGTGAAATCATCAGAAGCAACGTCCGGAAATATTGCATTTATAGTGGAGTTACTAAAAAACATTTCTACGGATTTGTCTGATAATGTCACCCGAGAGAAAATGAAGGTATTCTTTGTTAATTTCATTAAAAAATCTGACAATTTTTTTTTTTCAAAATCTAGCACTTTAATAGTTTCAAAATAGTCTTCAGGGTAAAAACTACCATAACCACAATAACAGTTCATTTCAGTTTTGGGTATGGATTCATCTTAGTTTGTGGACGTTTTCAAGAAACAATGAAAGTCGCTCAGTCGCGTCCAACTCTTTGCGACCCCATGAACCATACAGTCCATGGAATTCTCTAGGCCAGAATACTGGAGTGGGTAGCCTATTTCTTCTTCAGCGGATCTTCCCAATCCCGGAATCGAACTGGGGTCTCCTGCATTGCAGGCGGATTCTTTACCGACTGAGCTCTCAGGGAAACCCCTTTCAAGAAATAAGAATATTTTTAATACAGGTTTTTGTACAGACTGAATATTTGCAAGGAACTATCACATAGTAATCCTGTGAGGAAGACTTTGACTACTATAAAGTTTCCCAAATTTTATTTTTGTAAAATGTAATTGGACTGAGAAATGTTAGTGGAGGTTCCATTTCTTAAAAGAGAGATCTCTAGTACAGCAGATATAGGAATTCTGGGGTAAATGAAGCCAAGTAGGTCTTATGGCAGGACTTTATAGAGCTTTAAATCTGTTAATAAACTTTGGCACTCTTCACAAGGGTTGGCGGGAGGGGGCGGGTGGTGGATAGGGATATGGTGTGCTGTATTTGGATTGCCATAGGATCTACTCCCAACTTCCTCCTTAAACAGTCATTAATATCTCATGGAAAACTTGGGTTATACAAATTGAAGTTGGAAATGCTTCCTGGGGCATATGATAAAGCAGGTAACCCTGCTCTGTGGCTCATCTCATTTCATTTCATCTTGTTTGCTTATTTCATTTTATTTTATCTTATTATGTTTTTAGTTTATATTTATTGATTTTTAAAAATTGAGGTACAGTTGCTTTACAGTGTTGTGTTAATTTCTGTTGTACAGCAAAGTGAACCAGCTTCAAGTATACATAGATCCCTTCTTTTCTGGGTTTCCTTCCTATTTAGGTCACCACAGAGCATTAAGTAGAGTTATCAATATTATCAGTTATCTATCTTACCCATATTAGTGTATATATGTCAACCCTCAATCTTACTTTGCATATTTCATTTCTTTTTATCATATTTTGTTTTTAACATTTCTAATTTTTTTCCTCTCTCTGAAGTCCTACTAGTATGAAAATTCTAATAAACAGTGAATTTGAAGAGAAACATGTCACATAATAGCAAATCATTTGATCTTTAGAAACTTGAGGTTTTAGAAATTGACTTTGTACCACAGCGTGTGCATCCCCAGTATAGTATCCACTTTTCTCCACTGCAGAGCTACAGCAAAGTGGCTAACCACATCCTCGACCCAGCGGTCATTCCAAACTGGGCTTTCATTCCGGACAAAAATGTCAGCTCTGATCTGTTGCAGTCAGTGAACTGGTTTGCGAGGCAACTCCACATCCAGAATGAACCTGAGCACATTGTGGATGAATTCTTCATTCAGACGAAAGGGTTCCCCATCAACAACAATACCTCAGAGAGAAGTCTCAGTTTCTCCATGAACTTGAACAATACAGTGGAGGGTATCCTAGGAATCATAGAGATTCCCAGGCAAGAGCTGCAGAAGCTCCCCCCAAATGCCTCCCAAGCTGTTGGCATAGCTTTTCCCACTTTGGGCGCTGTCCTGAAAGAGGCCCACTTGGAAAATGCCCACCTTCCCAGGCTGGTAAACGGACTGGTCCTTTCAGTGATTTTACCAGAAAGATTGGAGCAAATCTTATTCACCTTTGAGAAGATCAACAAATCCAAAAATGCCAGGGCCCAATGTGTTGGCTGGCACTCCAGGAAAAGGAGATGGGATGAGAATGTCTGCGAAACAACGCTGGACACCAAGCATAGAGTGAAATGCCGGTGTAACTACACCAACGTGATGATGTCGTTTTCCATCCTCATGTCCCCCATATCTGTGGACAACAAAGTCCTGGACTACATCACCTGCGTTGGACTCAGCATCTCCATCCTTAGCTTGATTCTTTGCCTGATCATCGAAGCCACCGTCTGGTCCCATGTGGTCATGACGGACATAGCATATATGCGACATGTATGCATTGTGAATATAGCTGTGTCGCTCTTGACTGCCAATGTGTGGTTCATCTTAGGCTCCAACTTCAACAAAAAGGCCCAGGACTACAACTGGTGTGTTGCGGTGACATTTTTTAGCCACTTTTTCTACCTCTGTCTGTTTTTCTGGATGCTCTTCAAAGCTCTGCTCATCATCTATGGACTACTGGTCGTTTTCCGGAGGATGATGAAGTCCCGCATGCTGGCCATTGGCTTTGCCGTTGGCTATGGGTGCCCGTTAGTCATTGCTGCCACCACCGTGGCTATCACAGCGCCAGGGAAAGGCTACGTGAGACATGGTGCCTGTTGGCTTAACTGGGATGACACCAAAGCCCTTTTAGCCTTTGCCATCCCAGCCTTGGTCATTGTGGCTGTGAATCTTGTTGTGGTTTTGGTTGTTGCTGTCAACACTCAGAGACCGTCTATTGGTAGTTCCAAGTCTCAAGATGTGGCCATAATCCTGAGGATCAGCAAAAATGTCGCCATCCTCACGCCACTGTTGGGACTAACCTGGGGTTTTGGAATAGCTACGCTCATAGAAGGCACTTCCTTGATATTCCATATAATCTTTGCCCTGCTCAATGCTTTCCAGGTAAGTTCTGGGAGAGAGACTTATTTTATTGATACTATTAGCTACTTTTTATTTACAAAATATTATCTTATAATTTGGTATTCTGGCTATACAACAAAATATGGTTATGGTTTAAAAATATAGAACACCACATATTCCTTCCATTTCCTTTCATATCTTAGAGGCATTTATCTGTGACATCTCTTTGTCCTTTGATTGTCCAGTTGGATTTTGATGATCAAGCTGATTGGGCAGGCATCTCCTGATGTCTTTTCTAAAGTTTCCATGTGAAAAGACGTTGACCTTCACTTATGAAGGACTAGTCTTTGGTTAGGGATGTGTGAGGTTACAGTTACATATTAGGTCTCCAAACAAGCACAATTTTTATCCTTTCTCAAATGGTCTAGGGAATCTATGAAATAATAGTCGTTTTTTCACAGCAGGCAGAGATGATGGCCCATGTCACTCACTTTGGATGTTAATCAGTCAGGGATTCTCATACCCCCTCCCTGCTATTCTCTGAAAAATAAATGTCATTTGTTATTCACAGAAATGGATCCCAGCAATGTCACTTTCTCTGGTCCTCAGACTCCTCCTCTGTAAGATAAAGATAGATCTAAAATGATCTCTAACGTCTTTCCTTGTTTGCCATGCTTGCTTTAATAAGATTATCCATCTAAAAGTCATTCCACTTCATCTTGGCTTCTAAGCCACTTTTAGGAAGCTATCATTATGCTGCTTTCTGCACCCATGGGTAATAGAAAATTTAGGAAGTTTATGCATGTGTATATATATATATATATTTAAATGTATCTATTTATTTGGCTGTACTGGGTCTTAGTTGCAGCAAGTAGGGTCCAGTTCCCAGACCAGGGATCAAAACCAGACCCCTTGCATTAGTGGTGTGGAGTCTTCGCCTCTGGGACATCAGGGAAATCCCAGAAGGTTCATATTTTTAAAATATATTTTAAATCATGAGCTGGCAAACTGTGGCCTGCTGCCTGTGTTTGTAAATAGTTTTATTGGAATACACCTTACACACAGGCTTATAAGCACATCTTTTTATTGAAAAATTTTACTGAAATACACTCACACACACACACATTCCCCCTCTGGTGTCTCTTGTGCCGCAGTGGCAGGGGTGAGATAGTTGGGACACAGGCTGCAGAACCTGCAAAGCCTAAAAGATTTATTATCTGCTTCTTTTCAGAAAAATATCTTCAAAAAATTTTTGACCAATGCTTCAAAGAAAATAAATATAACTGTTTAATAAAGCAACAAAGTATTCCATGTCACAATTACTCTATTTAAAAACCTAATGCGAAATAATAAAGCCAGCTTTAAAGTAATGCCAACTCAGTACAATTATATACCTTATTCATAATTCCTTAATAACGATGGAGAACATTTATTTCAATCTTTCCTCTGTATTGCCTTAAAGAGAAACCTTTTACTTAAGGTTTTCTTTGGGGATGGGGATCAAAAGCTCTTGGACTCACATAAATCTCGCCTGCTCTTGAAGTTATACTCATTACCACTGACCTCACCTCATTATTTTGCAGTTTAATTAAACCCCAGGAAATTCTGTTCTGCATTTCTCTTTTGGATCATTTCTGTTTCTATTTTCTTGATGGAAAGAAAATTTCTAGACTCCCTTTAGTTACACACATTCCATTTTTCTAAAACAAGCTTTCTCTGTGACTCACAATTAAACATTTTCAGTTTTCTGATCAGTGTTTCTTCTCCATGAAACCATCCTTAGAAACCAGGCTTCCCTTCACTTTTGTGGCAGGATTCAGATTTTCCTTGGACCCCCAACTCCCATGACTTAAAAGGACTGACTGTCAATTACTCTGATTTTGTAGGTGACCAGATAATTTAAACTCCAAGAGACCTTGGTCTTACAGGTTTCTTTAGACTTCTCTCTCTCTCTCTTTTTTATTCAGTAACTTCTTTCACCAGTTTTAGAGACTCTAGCTGCCTGTTTCTTGACTTTTCCATTGAAAGTAGGCTAGAATACATTTCATTTTCCCATGACACCTTCCCTGATTGTGACTTTAAATGACAAAATTTTACATGTGTGTTACTCTCATCATGAGTAAGAACAACCACCTTAATACCTGGGAAGAAAGTAAACAGATTTAATAAGTTTGAAAACTATCCTACATTTGAAGCCATTCAAGAAATATCAATCACTCTCACGCACAAACATGAAGGTGGTCCTCTTTTTTTGAGGTCCATTCAAAGAAAACACTCATTAGTGCATGAGAGTCAGTAGACACTGAAGTTTCTAATACATGATAACTATCTTTGATGGAATCTAGAAGAGTGGTATTAAAATAACTACTGGGTTATAGTCTGCAGAACTGTCCCTCATACTTTTGTTGAATTCTGTCACAGGGGCTTTTCATCTTGCTGTTTGGAACCATTATGGACCACAAGGTAATTTGAATTTGTGTCACTCACTGTAAATGTTTTCCATGTGGTTGGGGGGAGCGGGAGGATGAAACAGCCTTGATCAGAGAGGATAGTGGAGAAGAGTTGAGTTTGTGGGGTGGTTCAAGGCATCAGCTGGGGGTGGGAGGGGGGGCAGGAGGGAAGAACTATGCTCTCTCTTGTCTTGTTCCTTCTCAAGTCAACTGGAGGTTATATTTGAACATAGCCAGTGAAAAAAATAGAAACCATGACCAGAACTTTAATCTTAATCCCAAATCTAGTTATGATTACACCTCAACTTTTATCCAAGTTTCATTATTTTTCAAGCACGGTGCTGAACCATCTGATGCTGCTTCTGCCAGAGTTGCTGGCCTCAAAGTTTCAGGACCCAGGTCTAGACCTTGAGGATGTTGTCATTTCTTCACTCTCATTGCTTCTTTAGATACGAGATGCTTTGAGGATGAGGATGTCTTCACTGAAGGGGCAGTCAAGGGTAGTAGAGGTAAGCTTCTCCCTTTCAGTCTCAAAACTGGAAGGTCATTGTTCTCAGTCAATTCATGCAGACAAATACTACAGCTCAATATTTGGGATTTGTTAGCAAACAGAATCATGAGGGCATACCTTTATTCATTCATTTCTTCAATCAGCAAATTTGGAGCATCCTGCTAGAGCTTAGGGTCACTGGAACATACCCCTCAAGAAAAGTTTCCAGGGAATCCTAGAATGGAATTCCAGGGAATCCCTGATGGCCCAGTAGTTGGGGCTCCATGCTTTCACACTCGGGCCTGGGTTTGATTCCTGGTTGGGGAACTAAGATCTTGCAAACCCTGCAGCATGGCAAGAAAAGAAAAAAAGCAAAGTTTCCATACTGGTTGTATTTCAACTAAATACATTTGGACCACTGAGAGAGAGACAATGTGAACACAGACCATAGATTCATAAAATGCCAGAGCTGGAAATAAGACCTGAGTTAGAAATGAGATACTAGACCACCCTTGTCATTTCAGAGGTAAGGAAACCAAGGCCCAGAGTACTTATGAGATGTGACCAGAGCAACCCAGCAATTTGTGAGAATTAGCATTCTTCCTGCCATGGGCTTCTGCAGCGAACCACACTCCCTTGAACTGAAGTGTCTGTGTATCTAAAGATCTTGAAGATGACTTTTGACCTAGTTATCTGTCTCATCAACTACCAACTGAAATTGCCACCATTGTTATATTAATGAGAAAGAAGTCATTTACTCAATCAACAGTTTCTCAATAAGAGCTGCTTTTAAAACAAACAAATAAAAAGCTCTCTGGAGACATACAGAGTCAGAATTTATAGTCAGCTAGTACTAAGAGTGACTCTTAGTGCCAGAGACCATCGATTCTAAGATCGGCATTTTTTATCCACCTTTGAATATTTCTGAAATTGGAACACATTGGGTAATCAATGGCATGCCATGACTTAATTGGCAAGTTAATTTTTTCATGTTCTTCCTCTGCGGACATAAATTATAATGATGTTGCTTACAGTGTGAGATTCAGTGAAATATGATAATTTAATTCAGTGTAGCTGTGTCAACTTTGGTACTTAATATTTCCATTGTTACGTGTTTATCTTCAGTCAGGCGTAGACATAAATATAAATCTATGTGCTTTCCGGTCAATGCCATTCTTCATTGACATCAGTGTTATTTTTTTTCCCTATTTAGAATGCATCGTTAAGCCCAACCTATGGATCTAAATTAATGAATCGTTGAGGATAAGACGTAAGTATTAAAAAAATCAAGGAGAAGCTTTGGGAAGGGAGCCGGGGATATCTTTCAGAGAATGGAAACGTCTTTATTGCCGAGCACATAAATGAAAATACACACATTTTTAAAACCCATGTCAGCTCAGTTTATTTGATCAGATTTTAAGAATACATCTTTTTTTTTTTTTCCTCTGTCCTCAGTGAGAGGATGCAGTCATCATCCCTATTCTGATACAGGATATATCTTGCTGTTTCAGTTCAGTCGCTCAGTTGTGTCTGACTCTCTGTGACCCCATGAACCGCAGCACGCCAAGCCTCCCTGTCCATCAACAACTGCTGGAGTCTACCCAAACCCATGTCCATTGAGTCGGTGATGCCATCCAGCCATCTCATCCTCTGTTGTCCCCTTCTCCTCCTGTCCTCAATCTTTCCCAGCATCAGGGTCTTTTCCAATGAGTCAGCTCTTCGCATCAGATGGCCAAAGTATTGGAGTTTCAGCTTCAACATCAGTCCTTCCAATGAACACTCAGGACTGATCTCCTTGAGGAGATGGTTGGATGGACTGGTTGGATCTCCTTGCAGTCCAAGGGACTATCAAAGAGTCTTCTCCAACACCACAGTTCAAAAACGTCAATTCTTTGGTGCTTAGCTTTCTTTATAGTCCAGCTCTCACATCCATACATGACTACTGGAAAAGCCATAGCCTTGACTAGATAGACCTTTGTTGACAAAGTAATGTCTCTACTTTTAATATGCTTTCTATGTTGGTCATAACTTTCCTTCCAAGGAGTAAGCGTCTTTTAATTTCATGGCTGCAATCACCATCTGCAGTGATTACACACACCTTAATTCCCTCTTGCCAGTGAGTGTTGACACTTACAGTAGCCCCATTGTTGAGCAGGAAGACCTCATTGATCGGAATCACAAAGCAACAAGCACGTCTCTCCCTAAAGAAGCTGGTGTTCAGAATCATTCCTAAAGGGATGAGGGTGGAGTTGCGCAAATCAGCTGCCTACTCACAGCCACCCTCTGAGACTTATTTCTACACAGGTGAAATCAGGGGAAAACAAATATTAGTCAGTCGTGAAGGGGAGGATAAGTCACAAAGTGGCAGCCTGAAGCCTGAGAGGTAAAAGGGGAATGTGGGCAGGGTAATTGGAGAGGCTTCCTGCCTTTCTGCGTGGATGCAGAGGAGTCTCAGATTTTTTTTTAACACCACCCAGCAGCAGGCACAACCTCTTTTACATTCCTTTCCTTTCTGAATCATGGCCCATCTATTGAGCAATCAAAGGGGTTGAAACAATCTCATGGAATGAAAGACTCTCTGAGTTGGAAGAAACTTTAAGGGACCTCCTGGATTAAAGATGATACAAACCTGCTGGCATGCAGCTGTGGCCATTGTCACATGGTCCCCAGAAGAGGGAAGGGGCTCTTTCTTATACATTGACTGGCATGTACCTGGTGCTATGAAAAGAGAGGGGAAAACACTGGTGCATTATCCTTAGTTAATTGCCTTCATATTTGAATTTTAATTTTAGAACTTTAAAGGGGAGGATTCAGTAGAACTTTGAAGAGCTAACGCCCCCAACTTCTGTCCATATCCTAGTCCATAGGGATCTTCCATGGTGGGACATTGCTATAGAATTTCTTGATTAGTCCCTGAGGAGAGGTAGTTCAGATGACCAAGTAAAGCCGATCTTTTCCATTGTTGTTATAAGTCATTTCTGACTCTTTTGCAACCCCAAGGACTGTAGCCCACCAGGATCCTCTGTCCATGGGATGTCCCAGGCACGAATACTGGAGCGGGTTGCCATTTTCTTCTCCAGGGGATCTTCCTGGACCAGGGATTGAACTCACATCTCCTGCATTAGCAGTGGATTCTTTACCACCAGGCCACCAGGGAAGTCCAATCTTTCCATCAAGGTTCTAATTGGATCTGTTTGGGGAAGCTTTTTAGACCAGAAGTCCCCAATGTTTTTGGCACCAGGGATTGGTTTCGTGGAAGACGAAACCATTTTTTCTATGGACTGGGGGTGGTGATGGTTTCAGGATGATTCAAGAGCATTCCATTTATTGGGTCCTTTATTCTATTGTTATTACATCAGCTCCACCTCAGATCATCAGACATTAGATGTCAGAGGCTGAGGACCCCTGTATTAGACTATCTTGGGTGGAGGAGGCTGGGCCACCTGGGGATATGACCTCTAACCATTCTAGAGAAGAGAGTGTAGATGAAGTCTCCACTTTAGCTAGCTCAGCACACCTGGCTGACTGTATTAATAGTTGGAGACAACCGGCAGAAGACAAGATCAGGGATTGCACCAGTTATAGAATCAGAGGTGCTCAGTGTTTGGCCGTTATCAGGAGGAAATGGAGGAAGGAGACAGCAACACACTAACAATTTTGCCCAAAGAAATGCTCAGCGCCTCCTTGTTCAGTTTTCAACCTCTATTTCTGAACCTGTGAAGTGGGGGATGGATGAGGATTGCATTCTTTCAGCATGTCTTCTGTGGGTGACCCTGGGCCTACTGAATTTTCCCGGTAATTGCAGTCTCTCTGCTTTTTACATCTGGACCCAGGAAGAATCAGAAGAGCTCAAAAGCAGCAGCTGGCACCATGCTGGAGGCAAAACAGGCTCAGAGGATAGGACGGGAAGTTCATGACCAGGGATCCTCCGCAGCCCTGGGAAGGTTTCAGCAGAAAGCGGGTCTCCCGTCAGGGGGCTGAGAACAGAATTACAGCTCAAGACACAGGCAGTTGGGGAGCATAAGGCTGGATCGCGGTCGAGGCTGGGGTTAATCACAAGGCAAAGGCAGTTTTTCTGATCTTAAACCAGGACACAAAAGCTTAGACTGAAGGGGTTTTGGGTCAGATAAAGGGCCCCCCATTGTTGGAAACACCACATAACCCAGGGACCTCAGGTGGGACTGTTATTAGGAACAAGGTCTGGACACGTGTTAGGAGAGGTCTGGGGACTGTGGAAGGACAGCAGCGGTGTGAAAACCGGGCCGTTTCCTCCACATCCTAACTGGGGGACCCCGTCCTGGGAAGCAGGGGAGGAAAGGGAAGGGCGTTTTAAACACGCAGCCAAGGCTGCACAGCGCCCTCTGCTGTTCATACGGAGGGCCTGCCTGTAATAGGACCCAGTAGAGCTTGTGATTAGCTTGTTATTAACCTAGTGTGATTTCAGAGTCACGAGGATGGCTCCTCCCTTCTTCTGAAATCTCTTATTCGTGGTTAAACTTCACTTAAAAAAACTCTTTATTCCAAGTGAGAAACGGGACGGATAGAACAGATACCCGGAGAGAAGCACCAAGGTTTTCCTAGAAAGTTGCAAATTCAGAGGACTGAGTCGTTCTAGAGATCAAGCTTACTTAGCAGAAGGGTGAGAGGCGTGCGGGACTGGCATGGGGAAGGCAAAAGGCCCAGAAAAATAAAGCTGGGAGCTTAGCCTTCCTACTGTGTGACCTTGAAGAAATTGCTCAGTGTTTCTGTCTCCATTTCCTCATCTGTAAAATGAAGCTAATAATAACAGTGCATACCTCTCAGGTTTCGGGACTCAATGGGCCAACATATTCAAGATTCATAGACTAATACCTGGTTCAGATTATCAGTTTCTGTTGTTTTTTGTTTAGTTGTTGTATCCGCCTCTTTTGCGACCCCATGTAACGTAGCCTGCCAGGCTCCTCTGTCCATGGGATTTCCCAAGCAAGAATACTGGAGTGGGTTGTCAATTCATTGTCTAGGGGAATCTTCCTGAGCCAGGGATTGNTTTTTTTTTTTTTTTTTTTTTTTTTTTTTTTTTTTTTTTTTTTTTTACCACTGAGCCTCCTGGGAGGCAAGTTATCCATACATGCCAGCTATTATTCTGACTTAACCAGCATGTTAATAATTTTGCCTAGGCTGCCCCATGCTTCACGGAAGTCCTGGGTCCTGGCTGGAGAGTTGAACTCCTGCAGGAGGCTGGAAGACAGGCTGGAATGTGGAGGGACAGTCATGTTTCTTTGGAAGAATTTCTCTTCTTGCCAGAAATGATGTCTGAACTCTCAGTAAGAAGGTTTGCCGAGGAAAAATTGAGGAGAGCATTTGGTGACTGGGCTCTAAGGACGTGGTTTTATGGACCCTTTGATCTACCCATGACCTGCAAAAGCCTAGCTTCTTGGTCAATCTTGGCAAGATTAAGACTTAATCACCTTTCACCCTCCAGGATTTGCTCTGCGGTTCCTTGGCTCAACCTCCCATGTCTCTGCATGGATCCTGGGCTCTTTGGGAGGTCAGGATCTGGATCCAGGTTTGGGGCTGGTTGGGGATAAGCATGGAGGGGGGTGGCAGGGGACATGCTTAATTTACTTTGGAGACAGTTAAAGCATGCTAGGTTTTCTAAAGTTAGGGAACAATTTAAAAAAAAAAAAAAAAGGACTTATTTGGGGTGGGGGGAGGGAGCTGCACTGTGCAGCTTGTGGGATCTTAGTTCCCTAACCAGGAATCGAACCTGGGCCCTCAGCAGTGAAACTGTGGAATCCTAACCACAGGACCACCAGGCAATTCCCAAGAGGACTTTTCAATGTGCTTGCTATTTTGCTCTGTTTTAGATCTTGAGTAAAATAATTTTGCCCCTGGGACCTTACTTCCTTCACTTGTGAAGCAGAAAAAAAAAATTCTTGTAGGTATTATTATTTGTGTGTGCATGTGTGTGTGTGTCTGTTTAAACCACTGTACCACTATTTTGGTTGTTATTTTAGAAATAAAAAGGGAAACTTTTATTTTCTTTTTTGTCTCTTTATTTAAAATAATTATATTACAAAATAAACATACAATATCTTCTGCATAATCCTATGCTTTCAGAAGTGAAATACCCACATTCTTCAAAATATTACTATCTTGTTTCCTGACTCCAACATCCAGGTGTGAACCTTAGGCAGAGATATCTCAGACCTGAGCAACTCAGTTTGAAGATTAATTTTCTCCTTGGAATTTTTCCCCTCCTGATAATTCTCATCTTTGGACATAACTCAATGAGTCCATTGAGAAATACATTTTTTACCCTTGTTAGGTGGTTTGGTGATGGTTTACCATCTCTTTCTACCTTCCCACCTTCCATTCATTGCTTAAAGAGGTGTGGCTAAAAGTTTGCATTGCAAATAGCAGGCATGGCTTTCACTTAGTGTTTGGTTTCCCAGCCCAAGTCTCCAAGAGCTAAAAACTGCTCAGGGAGAGAGGAATTGGCTTTCAGAGAGTTACAAGATCTCTGGGAACCAGTCAGTCAGAAAGCAACATCACTTAAAGAGGCAACAGAGAGGGGAGCATATCCTGCCCCTTTCCCACAATTTCCTCTTCAATCTTCTGCTAAGATTTAAGAGCCCGCAGCACAGGATATGATGAGGCAGCAAAGAGAAGCTCTCAGCTGATAAAACAAAATGAAGAATGTTGAAACTCATTCAACAGGAAACAGTCACGTGTAGACAGAAGCCATTTTAAGACAGTGGGTAGAACCTTTGTTCAGACACAAGAATGGGCTGTAAAACTCAGGAGGTGAAGACCACAAACACCTCTGCCTTTGGGCCTGGGGAATTTGGGGAGGAGGAAGCATGGATTGAGACTTGGTTCACTGATGCCCTTTATACATAAGCCGTGTGGGCCAGAAAACAGGATTTGAAGACAGATGTGTGTTTCAATTCTTACCTTACCACCTCCTTCTTCTTTTTAATTGTGGAAGATTTAGATTCGCAATTTTCTTTACTTACTTTTGGCTGTGCTGGGTCTTCACTTCTGCGAGGGCTTGTCTCTAGCTGCAGTGGGGGAGGTGGGGGGCTCTGTTGGTTGTGGCCCACGGGCTTCTCATTGCCTGTCACAGAGCACCAGCTCTAGAGCACAGGCCCGGCAGCTGCGGTACCCGGGCTTTGCTTCACGACCCGTGAGACCTTCCTGGATCAGGGAAGGAACTCATTCCTCCAGCACTAGCATGTCGGTTCTCAAACCCTGAGCCACCAGGGGAGCCCATCCCCTCCACCTTCTAATGAGTGACTTGGGGAGGTTATTTAGTCCCTACGAGTCTCCTACTTTGGTCCTCTATTAAACGGTTTTATGAAAAGTGCTTTATGGTATTGTAGAGAGCAAAGAAGAGGATGCTTATGAATGTCCCTGCTCCCATGACCCTGGCCCCACAGTAGATGCCTGAGAAATGTTAGTTCCCTTCCCCATCCTTCCACCTGTCTGGGGATGGGGCGTGAGAGTTTTGCTTTTTGTGTGGCAGAGCTTTTGGCTGCAGCAAGCTGGGTGGTGGTGTGGACTAACTCATAAGGAAGTGAAATTGAGGATCCAGGGCTTTCATTAGGCTGAAGAGCAAGGGTCAGAGGAGGCCTTTCAATGCGCTTCTATCTTGGCCAGGTCCCAAGATAGGCAAAGGGAAAAGGTTTCAGAGCAAGGAGTAGAAGTTAAAACTGGATCTGGAAGCTGGTGCCAGAGAGCAAAGAACTCTACCTGGATAACAAGAGTTTTCAGAGTAATGAAGTATACAGAAGATAAGTTCCGTTCTTGAACTACTTTAGTCACTTAATCTCACAATCCAATGTACATTTTATGGAGGACTAGGGGTCAGGGCCCTCTGTCTGGTGAAACTGAGATCATACAAAGCATTCTATGGGGGGGAGTGACAATCCTGGTAAAAAGATACAGGCAGCCTCTAAAAGCTGGGGAAGGCAAAAAAAAAAAAAAAGAGTTCTCTCCTAGAGCTTCTAGAAAAAATGCAATTCTGTCAATACTTTGATTTTAAGGCAGCAAGACCCACTTTGGACATCTGATCGGCAGAACTGTAAGATAATATGTTGTATTGTTTTAAGCCAATACATTTGTAGCAGTTTGATGCAGTAGTGATAGGAAGCTAATAGAGTAGCTGTAACTACATTGTCATAAATAATTCACAGGCAAATTAGTCGCAGTCTTGACAAACGGACAGTGCAAACGATTGATTTGAATAAATTAAGCTCTTTAACGCCTCCTGGTGGCTGAAATCTTACAGTGACGGACCTGAAATGTCGTCTGCTCAAAGCTCTTCCCCACAGAGCAGGCATGCTATCCCCCAAGCAGGGCAGGAGGCTAATTGTGATCAGATGATGAAATACAGTTGAAATGGTTCATATGGATTACCTAATAACACAGTGGAAAAAGAAGCTCAACTTACACACATTCAGAGATACAGCCTTTTATTACAAGGACCTGTGATAGAACACAGGCAGCCCGTAAGACCTGCCTATGAACCATTAGCCAATGACGGTGGTGGCTGGGGGAACTCTCATTCCCTTCAAGCCTTACTTACTCCATCAGGCTTATCAGACCGCTACTCTCCTGATACTAGTTGTGCACAATCAACACTTCTCAACCTTGTCTTCAACCTTGTTTAACTAGAAAGCACCCTTAGATCTTTTCCGCAAAGAAAACCGTGATCTGCCTGGACATGTATGGCCGATATGAGTGTCTTATTGTCACTCATAAGGACAATGAAAATTAAAAACTACGCTAAAAACTATTTCCAACCATCAGATTGGCAAAAATACAAATGTTTGATAGCTCACGCTTTTGGAGAGATTGTGAAGAAATAGGGATTTTCATGTATTGCTTGTTGGAGTGAAAAGTAGTATGGCTTCTATGGAGGGGACTTGACAATATTTACAAAAGAACATGGGCTTCCCAAGTGGTGCTTGTGGCAAAGAACCTGCCCGACAGTGCAGGAGACCCGGGTTCGATCCTTGGGTCGGGAAGATCCCCTGGAGGAGGGCATGGCAACCCACTCCAGCATTCTTGCCTGGGAAATCCACAGACAGAGGAGCCTGGTGGGCTACAGTCCATGGGGTCACAAAGAGTCTGACCCAACTGAAGCATTTTAGCAAGCACAAATATATTTTTACTGTAGAGAAACATTTCTAAAAATCTAGTGTGATAACATACCTCCCTGATTATTAGAGACCATATTCATAAAGTCATTCTTCATGAAGTTCCATTTTTATTAGCAGAGATTGGAATCCACCTAAGTGTTGATCATTTAAGGACTGGTTGAATGAGTTATAAAACATCCTCACTATGGAGTCCTGTGTAGGTGCTAACAAAGAACAAGAATGTATGTTGTTCAGTAAAAAAAGAAAAAAAAACATCCTTGGTGCAAAGAGTTTGTATATAGTATGGAAACTCTGTATAAGAAAATTTTGAATAAATATATATGTATTTTTTTAAATGATATATGTACACAGGAAGCAGAAAGCAGGAGATATGGGTAGCAGCAGTCCAGGGAAGGGATGAGAGATGGGCTGGACTTATAGGCATGAGTGCCAGTTATCTGTGGCTATTATAACAAGTTGCCGCAGATTTAGTGGCTTAAAACAACAGAATTGGTCTTCCCTCGTGACTTGGTGGTAAAGAACCTGGTGCCAATGCAGGAGACGTGGATTTGATCCCCGATCTGGAAAGAACCCACGTGCTCCAGGGCAGCTAAGCCCGTGCACAGTAACTGCTGAGCCTGTGCTCTGGAGCCCAGGAGCGGCAACTACAGAAGCCTGCGCGCCTAGAACCTGTGCTCCGTGACAAGAGAAGCCACAGCACCTCAACTAAAAAGTAGCCACCACTCCCTGCCACTAGAGAAAGGCCCACATTACCAAAAATAAATAAAATTAAAACAGCGACAGCAAAGAATCCCCCAGCATATTATAGATTAAAGTCCTGGAGGTCAGAGTTCTCAACTGAATGTCACCATGTGAAAAGATGCTCAACATCCCTAATTATTAGAGAAATGCAAACCAAAACTACAATGAGGTACCACCTCACATTGGTCAGAATGGCCATTTATCACAAAATTTATATTTTGTTATCTATTATTATTACCAAAAGATAATAAATGCTAAAGAGGGTATGTAGTACCCTAAAGAGGGTACTACACTGTGGGTGGGAATGTAAATTGGTAGAGCTATTATGGAGAACAATATGAGGTTCCTTAAAAAGCTAAAAATAAAGCTATCATATGATTCCATAGTCCCACTTCTGGGCATATATCTAGAGAAAAACATGATTCAAAAATATACATGCCCCCTAATGCTCATTGTAGTACTCTTTACAATCGCCAAGACATGAAAATAACCTAAGTGTGCATATATATATAGGCTTTCCTGGTGGCTCAGTGGTAATTCGGGAGACAAAGATTTGATGCTGGGTTGGGAAGATCCCTGGAGAAGGAAATGGCAACTCACTCCAGTATTCTTGCCTGGGAAATTCTACGGACAAAGAGCTTGGTAGGTTACAGTTCATGGGGTCCCAAAAGAGTCAGACT